GTTTAACTTCCTTGTTCTTTGCTTTCTAATCCTAGAAGTCTTGTGTAACTGCTTTACAGCTTAGGGAGTTACAGTGCTGTGACTGCAGTCTCTGCAACCTGCCCCATCCTGACCACCGCATCTGTGAGTGTGGCACATGGGGTTCCTGCTCACCAAAGTGCTTACCTCCATTCCCCAATAAGGGCAGAAGTGGTGCTTTATGCTGCCTGGGGCAGGCACGCCTCTGATGCTGCCCTAGCATTCTAAGAATGTTTTCCAAGTTAGCCTTCTAAATATCTGGCAAGTGTCTGGTTTCTTTTAGGGAAGCCATACCTTTTTAAGACATTTTCTTGCATGTAAACCTGGGAGTAAATTGTACATCCTGAGCTATAGGCTCGTATAGTGAAGTTGCAGTTCTTGTTTGTCAGAGTTTAACTGCTGTTTAGGCTATAAGTGAACTTTAGTCTCCATATTTGTACTAACCTAATGTGCTCTTTGAGGTTTTAGGCTTAATACTGCCTATTCTAGAGCAGAACTTGTTCAGTCAGTAAATATTGTAGATCAACAACTGCCGGGAAGATAATAATTTGAGAAACTGGGTTTTGAGTTTAACTCTGAGGAATAGGACAGAAGGTGCGTTACAGAAAGAGAGCAACAGGAGGCTGGTGAGGCAAGAGCTGAAGGGGTCTCCTTTATTCCCCCACCCTTAAGCATTTTGTAAGTTTTGAAAACAAAATCTGGCTACAAAAAACTAGAGGAAAAATTCTCCAGTGTCCTGTGTGTTTGACTGTTCAAAGCTGCCTTTCTCCAAGCAAAGCAGAGGCAAACTTTCATCCTCTGCAGTGGTTTTTCCTTCCCTTTGCCAGTATGGTGGGATACCTCTCCATATCTTACTGTAATGTATCCCTGATGTGGGTGAGGAGAACTTGTTCCAACAGTGTGTGTCTTCCTCCACAGGTGACCTTGCAGCCATGAGCAGCAATGAGTGCTTCAAGTGTGGGCGTACCGGCCACTGGGCTCGGGAGTGCCCCACTGGAATTGGCCGTGGTCGTGGTATGAGGAGCCGTGGCAGAGGTGATTTGATTGCTGTGGTTTTCATTGTGTGTGTAGTAAGATCTGTAGCTGACTGTTGTGTATAGTATGTAAATTCAGTTCTCTTAGTGGGCAGTGAAGCAGTCAGGACACAAATGGGTAATAAGTTTTGCTGGTTCTTACTTCTGCATAAGAATTTTGCCAGGGGCATCAGAGAGTGGAGCTAACTTGTCAGTTCAGGGGGCAGTGTCCCTCATTAACTCTGAGGAATATTCTGAATTTAAGGATTAAGCATTTTTTTCTCCTGTTGCCCGTTTCAAGCAGGCTTCCAGTTCATGTCCTCATCTCTGCCGGACATCTGCTACCGCTGTGGTGAGTCTGGCCATCTTGCCAAGGACTGTGATCTTCAGGAGGATGGTAAGTATCACTAAATATTCTATCTCCTCAATCACATGGACAGAGAATTGTGGTTGAAGAGAATGGTTCAGTACACTGATGGTAATTTACTGGGAACAAGCTGTATGTGTCCTTCCTTGGAAGCATGCTACAGCTCGCTCTACCAAGGTTTTATAGTCTTGTTTGGTGTGTTTTTCTTATTGTGGAAGCCTGCTATAACTGCGGTAGAGGTGGCCACATTGCAAAGGACTGCAAGGAGCCCAAGAGGGAGAGAGAGCAGTGCTGCTACAACTGTGGCAAACCTGGCCACCTGGCTCGTGACTGTGACCACGCAGATGAGCAGAAGTGCTATTCCTGTGGAGAGTTTGGACACATTCAGAAAGACTGCACCAAAGTGAAATGCTATCGGTAAGGACTGGGAAGGGGCAACTGCAAAAGCCACCTTAAGGGACGGATGTGTTCTTTATCTAGTTTTGATTAGGAAGTGAAGCTTAAACTTGGACCAGGGAGCTTGTTTCTTGAAACAGTTGTTTAAGACTTAAATGCCTGTTAGCGAAGTCAAGTAGTGGACTTGATGCATGTCTCTGGATGGCCAGAGCCACGCAGGCTTGTGCCAGAAAGCAGTACATTCCCGAGTGCACTGTTCTTGCCCCCACTGAGGTTCCCTCCTGTGGAGGAAGGAGTGAGAACATGGTGTATTTGAGTTAAAATTAACTGCTCTCAAAACAAGGCTGAATTGCAGGCAGAAGTATTGGAGCAAGCAAACCCCAGCGCGCGCACACACACCCCCCAAACCCACAAACTTCTGTATTCAGTGTACAGTGGTTTTGGCATACACTGATGAATTAGAGCTGATCAGTTGGGGAACAGTTCCTGGCTGTAAAGACAGAGACTTGCCTCATGTCAAAGACTTCTGGAACACTGAAACTGATGTCTTGAGTGAGGAACTAGCATTGCGTGAGCAGATGATGCACTTGTCAGCACAGGATTGCTTCTGCCGGTACCTGTTGTGGATGGTTCTGATAAAAGCCTTTGCCTTTCCCAGGTGTGGTGAAACTGGCCATGTAGCCATCAACTGCAGCAAGACCAGTGAAGTCAACTGCTACCGCTGCGGCGAGTCAGGGCACCTTGCACGGGAATGCACAATTGAAGCTACAGCCTAACTATTTTCCTTTGTCGCCCCTCCTTTTTCTGATTGATGGTTGTATTATTTTTCTCTGAATCCTCTTCACTGGCCAAAGGTTGGCAGATAGAGGCTACTCCCAGGCCAGTGAGCTTTACTTGCCGTGTAAAAGGAGGAAAGGGGTGGAAAAATCAACTTTCTGCATTTAACTACAAAAATGTTTATGTTTAGTTTGGTAGAGGTGTTATGTATAATGCTTTGTTAAAGAACCCCCTTTCCGTGCCACTGGTGATAGGGATTGATGAGTGGGAAGAGTGGAGTCAGACCAGCAAAAACCCTCTCTGGGTTACATGGAAGTGATCCTATGCAGGAGGAAAGAAAATTCTGGAAGTGTCTAAACTTCCTCATAACTTTTATTACAATGGCCTTGGATTGTCTGACCTCAGTAGCTGTTAACACCAAGTAATACCTGTATCGGGCCCTACCTAGAGCATATAGCTGAGTGGGAGTAAACAAACAAGATGCACATGCCTGTTAATGGCCATGAGAGAGAGAGAGAGAGAAATCAGGAATAAACTTAAAAGTAACAGTAATTCAGTCAATGAATGTTCATGTTGGAGTTACAGAACGTTATGGGGAGCTTTTGAATAAATACTTCAATCTGGAACCCAGACATCAGTGCTCATAGCATATACAATTTGGAGCTATTCAGGAGTTGCAAATAAATGCATTTTCACAGAAATCAAGATGTTATTTTTGTATACTATATCACTTAGACAACTGAGTTTCATTTGCTTGTAATCAGTTTTTAAAGTAAGATGGTAAAAGCAATTGAAGTCCTAGAACATAGAAAATGTAATTTTAAACTATCAATAAAGCTGGAGGAGGAAGGGGAGTTTGGCTAAAGTTCCTTTTGTTTATTTTTGGTTTCATGTACACAGTGCAAAATAACATATTAAAAAGGGGTATGTGGAGGTGTAAAAAGCTTAGTTTGGACTTTTTCTTTTGTGCTGTCTTCAGTTCCCATGGGGTAGGGTTACTGGGGCCGTGTTGTGCGTGCAGCCTGCGGCCGGCGGGTGTGCGAGTTCCCAGCGTGGAGCAGGTTAACGGGCTGTTGGCAGCGCCGCAGCCTCCGCAGCTCCCATTACATCAGACACCCGGTGTTGCAGGCGCTGCCCCTTCCCATGGCTCAGCCCACGGTGTTGCTTCACTGGGGGATATTCAGCAGGTACGCTCCCCTGATCTGGTGCCTCCGCTGCGAGCGTGTACAGCCGTGACTGGCGAGGGAAAGGGGCAGATGTCCTGTGCTGCCCAGGGCTGTGCCACGTGCGTGGTGGCAGAGGGTGTGTTGAAGGCAGTGGGCCGGAGCTCCAGCAGGTTCTAGGGAGGGCTCTGTCCCTTCACCATCAGGGCTGTGTGCTGCGCTCCCCTTCTGCGTTGTCACGCACAGCCAGCTTCGAGTGCTTTCAAAGCTCCGGTTTCACCGGCCGTGTGTGAAAATGGCCTGCGATAGCAGCGGGGTGGCTGTGGGGATGAGATGCGCCAGGCTGCTGCCGTGCCCCCATGCCCGCGTACAGCGGAGCTGGTGCTGGTCCGTGATCTTCAGAGGGGCATTCAAAGGACCCATCTGGTTACCCCGTTAGCGCCTGCAGGCCCGGCTGTTCAGTGGGGCACCCCTGCCCCTGGGGGCTGTGGTCGTGCAGGAGCAGAACCTCATCGGGTGGATTCTGTGGATTAGGAAGGTGCAGCCATGGGTAACCAATTGTTTCCTACAAATGGGGCTCCCTACAGATGCCGGGTTCCTACAAATGGGGTTCCCTAGAGACGTCAGGTTCCTACAAACAGGGTTCCCTACAGACGCTGGGTTCCTACAAACGGAGTTTCTTACAGACAGGGTTCCTACAAACAAGGTTCCCTACAGATGCCGGGTTCCTACAAACAAGGTTTCCTACAGACGGGGTTCTTACAAACAGGGTTCCCTACAGATGGGATTCCTACAAACGGGGGTCCCTACAGACAGGGTTCCTACAAACGGGGTTTCCTACAGATGGGGTTCCTACAAACGGGGTGTCTACAAATGGGGTTCCCTACAGACGGGGTTCCTACAAATGGGGTTTCTACAAACGGGGTTCCCTACAAATGGGGCTTCCTACATACGGGGTTCCCTATAGACGGGTTTCCTACAAATGGGGTTCTCACAAAAGGGGTTCCCTACATACGGGGTTCCCTACATACGGGGTTCCTACAAACGGGGTTCCCACAAACGGGGTTCCCTACAGACGCCGCGTTCCTGGCGCCGCTTCCCGCGCTCCGCGCAGCGCCACCGGAACCTCCCGTCCGCTGGGGGGCGACCCGCCGAGCCGCGCACGCGCTCCGAGGTGACGTCCGCGGTGTACGCAGGTAGCGACTGCGCCACTTCCGGTGTCGCTGCCCGTCTGTTTCCGGCAGCGCTGAGGGGCCCGTTGCCGCCATGGTGAGCGCAGGGCCGGGGCCATGGGTCCGGTCCCGGCGCCAGGCCCGCCTCGCGCGGCCGCCCTCGCTCACAGCCCCTCTGTTCTCTCTTGCAGGCTCGGAACGCGGAGAAGGCCATGTGAGTGCTGCCGCCGCTGCCCCCGCCACAGCTCTGCGCGGGCGCCCCGGTGCGGGCAGGGACAGCTCCCGGGGCCCGCAGACCAGCCGGTGCCCCCCCGTGTTCCCCGCGCTGGGTCCGGTGTCAGCGACCCGAGCCCGCTGTGCCGTGGCTCATGGCCGCGCTCGCTGTGCGGCTGTTTGACAGCACTGGGAGTTCAGATGCGTTTTGGCACTTGGTTGTGTTGTGCTGTGCTGATCTACAGGGGGTGGGAGTTGAGGGTGCCCAGAGAAGCTGTGGCTGCCCCATCCCTGGCAGTGTTCAAGGCCAGGTTGGACACAGGGGCTTGGAGCAAGCTGCTCTAGTGGAAGGGGTCCCTGCCCGTGGCAGGGGCTGGGGCTGGAGGAGCTTTAAGGGCCCTTCCAACCCAAAGCACTCTGTGATTCCAAGTATGAATCTTCTTGCTTGGCACTTGCCGGGGCTAAATTTACAGGTTTTAGCCTATTTATTTTTCTGTTGACTTTGTTGAGTACTTCTCCAAAAGGTGTGCTAAGCACATGTTTAGAACTACTAAATTAGAGACTCTGTAATGAATTTGTCTCATGTTTGTTCTTTAACCTAAACCACTTTCTGAGCTTGTAATAATAGCTCGGGGAGGCTGCAGAGGCCCTACCACAGCTGTGTGACACATCAGAATCACAATGGTCAGGGTTGCAAGTTTTGTTTGCTTTTTGATGTGTCCCCTGCTGAGATAGGTAAACTTAATGCTTGTGCTTGTAACTTGTTCATGCCCTTCTGCTGCTCATAATCTAACATGCTGGCATATCCTAAGCAGGCAAAAATGCTTAGCTGCTTACCAAGATCTATATTTGTCTAAGAAATGAACCACTGAGGATTTCCAGTGTCGAAGAGGCCGCTGGCCAGCAGTGTGGCCAGTCAGTGAGTGTGTTCAAGCCTTTGTTTTCTACAGACTGTAACGAAGCCCATCCTAAACATCCAGAGCAAAACTTGTTCCTGTCGGAATGTGGATGTGTAGAAGTAAATCCATTTCCTTTCTTTCCTTTAGGACGGCCTTGGCAAGGTTTCGCCAGGCTCAGCTGGAGGAAGGAAAAGTTAAGGTATGATGTAAAGCCCTAAAGCTCTGGTAGTTCTGGTGGGGAGGGGAGCGTGAACCATGTACCGAGCTGTGCGGCTGCGGTCGGGTCGGACCCCAGGCAGGAAGGGGAATCCTACAGGAGCACCTGAAGCAGGGACTGTATTTCACAGTGACCCAAACAGGAAATGGTAAATAGAATTTTCTGAGCTAAATAACCAGGTTAAGAATTTCTGCGTGTGAAAGGGAAGTGCGAGTTGAACAGTGCTTGCTTTTCATTGTCTTCATGAAATATAGGTAGAATCTGCAGTGGTTTGAAGAAAACCCCAAACTGCAGTAGTGCTGCCAACACCGGCAGAGTGCTGGGCAGAAAGTGAAAATGACGTTTGAGACTCAGGTTACCTCCTTTTGCAACTCCTTGTGCAAACTGATGCGAATGCACTTAGTTTTACCAGCAGTAATCCCAGGGTTGGCTTGGATTTCATTCCAGGAGAGGCAGAGGAATCCCTCTCCTGATTGTTCATTGGTAACATTCTGACAACAGGAACCACAGAGCGAAGGCCCTTCAGGGTCACTGTGAACTGGGGGTGTGCATGAGACATAACATTGGCTTGTGTTAACCCAGCACGTGATAGCTGTGTGTTGGAGCTGGCCTCACACGCTGTGCCATGTTCACATGGCTTTTTTGCTTGGTGTAAGGCTGCCAAAAAAATGGGCTTAGCAACTTTGTCATTTAAAAACCCCACCAATGCAGTGAAAAAATAGCACCCCTAAATCCACATAGACCCTTAGAGATGGATTCTCAACCATCTCTGGGTATTCCTTTGCGGTTTTCACTGAATCATTTGCGAGAATATTGCTGTGGGGATCAGTGTTCCCAGTTGGACAGGTTTTGGGTGACCAACAGTGGAACTCTGGAAGCTGACTGAGGTGTCCTCACACACAAGTGCGAGCAAGATGAGACAGGAAAGTGGAAAAGAACAGTTTGGGGAAACTATAGTGCAAAAGACTCCATGAGCAACAGCCAGAGAGAATGATGGAACAGAGTGTCTGGTACGTCGTGTGAGGGAAGGCTTTTTATTATCTAAGGGGTAGAGCTGTGAAAGTACAGTAGGGAAAGTGGCAAAAGAACTGCGCACAGAATCCATGGGGTAGGATGAAGTATTAGTTTGTGTGTCCTATATGGAACATTATTTGTCTTGGCAAGGATTATGTGGTGGTTTGAAAAGCAAGTGACAGATTTTGTTTTGGATAAAGTGGGTTTAAGTCGTTTGTGTATTCTGTGGTAGTTCAGTGTGTCAGGCTGTGAATGGTCATTGTTTTCCACTTGCTGTGAATGGGTGGGAGGAGAAGCACCGGTAGCACAGTTTGGGATTAACAAGCAATAACGTTTGCAGGAAATGCTGTAAGTGTGTTGATGCTGGGTTAAAACTTCCTGGTGTGTGGATTTCTGTCAAACAGGAACGAAGACCTTTCCTTGCTTCGGAGTGTAATGAACTGCCTAAAGCTGAGAAGTGGAGGAGACAGGTAATGTCAAGCTGTGGGTTTTACTAATTGTCTAACAGGTAGAACTTCAGCACTTCTCGGTTTGATAGATTTGTTCAGGTCTCTTCAGTGTGCTGACAGTTAAATCACAGTCATTTAGACTGGAAGATCAGGCAGGTCACCACAGTATTTAGAGCAGGTTGTACCCCATCAAGCTGCCCAGGGCTGTGTCCAGCTGAGATTTGAGAATCATCAGGGTTTGGATCCCACGGCTTTCTGGGGCCCCATTCCAGTGTTTGATTGCCTTCTTCATGATCTTTTTTTTCCCCTCGAATTTAATCAGTTTCCTTGGTTTCAACTTATGTTTGTTGCTGCTTGTCCTGTGTTGTGCATCTCTCAGACAGCCTGGTTCAGTCCTTTCTATACCCTCTGTTAGGCTGTTGAAGACAGCAACAAGTTGCTCCCTTTTTTGCTTTCTCTTAAGGCAGATCAAATGCAGTTCTCTCAGCCTTTCTCTGTACATCACAGGCTCCTGCCCTCCCATGTACAGCTGTAAAAATGTAAAAAGCTTCTGAGATACTGTATTTGTGTCTGAATGAGATCTGTGTTGGTGTTTGAAATCGATAAGCTCGGGTTCATTTCCTAGATCAGAGACACCTTAAAGTTGGATCTTTCTAGGGTTTTGTTTTGCTTTTTCTGCCTTGTTTGGGAAGTTCACTTCTGTGTTCTTGTCTACCCAGATCATTGGGGAGATTTCCAAGAAGGTGGCACAGATTCAAAATGGTAAGGCTTTTCTAAGTACATTTCATTTGTTTGAATCCCCCGTCCTAATCAGTTACAGTAAAAATCCCATTTCATGGGAACTACACCATTCCCATTGGGTGAATTCTGGAATGGCTCCGGTACTTCTGGAAAGCTGCCTAATTCATTGCTTTTCCCTCTCTAACAGCTGGCTTGGGGGAATTCAGAATCCGGGACCTGAATGATGAAATAAACAAACTTCTGAGGGAGAAAGGGCACTGGGAATTCAGAATAAAGGAGCTGGGAGGCCCTGACTATGCTGTAAGTGTACACTGGTTTCTGTTTTAATGGGGGAGTTGTTGTAGAGAACCTGTATAAAAACGAGCCATGGGGGTGTTTTACTTGTGGGGTAGTTTGAAGTGGTACAACAGATCTCCTTTCTCATCCTTTAATCTATCGAGATGCCTGGGAAGACAGGAAATACAAGATGCAAGAGCAGTAAGACTTTAAACCATGAACTTTCTTTATTTCCCAGCGGATTGGGCCGAAAATGTTGGATCATGAAGGGAAAGAAGTTCCAGGAAACAGAGGTTACAAATACTTCGGAGCTGCAAAGGATCTACCAGGAGTTAGAGAACTTTTTGAAAAGGAACGTAAGTAAATAGTGACTGTTCCCAGATGTGAGCCTACACAGTAGTGTGTCTTGAGTAAAATGTCTGTGTAGTTATGTGGGGAATGCTAGTAGCAGTGTTTTCTGGCCCATAAATAGACATAAGTGGATAAAACTTTATATGTAGGTTTGTTATGGAAGGAGTGGGAATTCCATGGACCTGAAGAGAGGCAGGCCTGCTGAATCAGCTCTTCCTTACTTGCCATCTGCAGAGAAAAAACTGTGGGAAGTACTCCATGAGCGGGGGGAGCTTGGGATAGGTTTTTATTTCCTTTCATATAGTCTTGCTCAGTGCTGGGACTCCATTTCAGGGGGAAACAGCAATGGAGAACTGCCACAGGATGGGAACTGCACAGAAAAATGCCAGTACCCCTGGCACTGACAGCAGTTTGGTCACACGCTTGGGTGAGGTAGCTGGGGTTGCTGTGAGGCTGATGGGGAATGCACAGCAAGCTGTCAGGATGGACCTGCACGAATGACAACTGTTCTTCCAGCCGTCCCTCCGCCTCGGAAGACTCGAGCTGAGCTTATGAAATCCATTGATGCAGAATACTATGGCTACAGGGATGAAGAGGATGGTATTCTGGAGCCGCTGGAGCAAGAACATGAAAAGAAAGGTATGTGAGATACAAAATCAGCCCAAGAAGGGGTCATGATGGGCTCGAAAGTGAAGATAGCTTTTCTTTCCCTGCTGGTATTGTCCTGTGCTTAGCTGTCACGCAGGTATCCAGATCATTGCTGTGTAAGGCATTTCAGGGTTGAGGCAGTGTGCTGTATAGTTTGCTTCAGAGTCATCATTGCTACTGTTAATGATTTAATACTATCAGCAAGTGATTTGCTATGAAGCAAAATCTTTTTTCCCCACATTTTTCATGCTTAAGAATGTAAAAGGGTAGGTTGCAGCAGGGAGGTCTGTGGAACGCAAGGGTTATCTCCTCCCTCCTTTGTGAGAACTGGCCATACCATCTGTTTCCTGTCTCACCTCATTATTTATCCATAAGCACAGTTGTCTATCCCTCTTGGAGATTAGAGGGGGCCTTCTGGAAACCCCGAAGGCCCAGTGGCCTATGTTAATTTAGCCACATGAATGCATTTGTGGATGTTTTTTCCTTTGAAACCCATACTTCCTCAACAGTTAGTGTTTATCCATGTCTCTGCTCACTCAGTTCTCTGGCTTTGTTTCTACTGACTTGCCCAGTAATGACAACAGGATTATGAGCCTCATACCTGAAACCCTCTTTAAAATTCAGCACTGTGTGACATCTGCCTGCTGTTTGTGTAGCTTTAAGCAAGAGGCTGTGCACCACCTTTATGAGCATCGCCTGTTCCTGGCAATTGGTTGCTGTTTGCATTGTGTATTTGTTTTGTGATCACTTCTTCTGAAGCAGATCGTCAGTGCTCTGTTGGACGTGTGCTGGTGTAGGAGCCACTGGTAGGGTCCTCACAGAACATGGCAGATAAAACAATCAGGTTTTGTTTAAATGGTGCTTCTTTTTGTAGACATTGAAACCTCACTGCAGGAAGTCCTTGTTTGAATGATTACAAGTTGTTGCAGTTGTAACTGTTAACCAATACTTAGTACTGTCATCCACTTCTTACATTTATGCTTTTCCATGTGTGAGATCTTCATAGCATTGTGTGTTAGAGATCCTGCCTTGTCAGCTAGATTGTAAGACAGGGACCTGCAGCATAGCCTGGGGCCTTCAACCAAGCGAGTGGCAGGCAGCTGGCTGGCCCACAGGTGATGGCTGCGAGAGGAAGTTGCGTGGTGCAGCACACCCGGAGCCGCCCTCACTCAGTGTTCTTGCACATCTTGCTGACTGCAGACAGGAGAAGTGACTCCTCTGGATTCATGTGGTTACTTAAGAAAATGAACATCTTTGGTGATGGTGCCACTTGAGATAACCAGGCTAGAGATGCGACAGAGCCAGTGGTGCACTAGTAACGTACAAATTGGATACTGTTAACGCACGATAGCTGGGATGCTCTTAGGGCCGCTTGTTGTCTGTTTTCTTTGTGGTTTTTTGTAATCAGAAGAGTTAAATTTTTGTGAAACAAAGTATTGAGGTCCCTTTTCTGTTACAAACCCACCCAAAACCCCGCATTTGCCACTGGTCAGTGCGATCTTGCTTTCTCAGGAAGAGCATTTTAGTGTTTAATCTTTGAGAGCTAGGGGAATGCCTGCTGACTGTTAACTGTTGCAGGCATTTCATACTGCCTACTTGCATTAATCTTGCACCTCCCCAGGGTATTTATACACTGGTGTGGTCACTCATTAAGCTGCTTAAAACTTCAGTGCTTCTACTAGGACTCTGCTGTGTAGTAGAGATATAGCAGCTTAATAGCTCTGAGCCAGCAGCGAGTTACAGAAGTGGGATTGTGCTGCAGAAAAGGAGAAATACACTATGAGATGAAAAGAAAGAGACTTCTGTGGCTGGTCACTGTAAGGAGTATAATCATGTTTAATTACACAGGGATCAGCTTTCCTACAGCTGTTGACATGTGAAGTGTCACTTAGCCTCAGTTCAGAAAATAGGTTGATATTTATCCATGACATTGAGAGGTCTAAAATGCACCCAAATTAAGGCATTAGCAATTACCACACTTCCACAATGCCAGTATTGGGTTTTGCTCAGACTGTGTTGATGTATTTTATTAGATACTGCATCGAGGTTCTATAGTAAGTGTGCGTTGCCAATGTAGAGGACTTGAGCAAGAAGTCTGATGTCAAAGCTTTGGCATTAGGACCGTGCTTCTCTCACTTGCTCTCAGATACACTTGCTATTTTCCTTTGCTAACCAGTTATAGCAGAAGCAGTGGAAAAATGGAAAATGGAAAGAGAAGCACGACTTGCAAAAGGTGAGGAAGAGGAGGAAGAAGATATCTATGCTGTCAATGACGATGAGGTATGTGATGGCTAAGGCAATGTGACGTTTCAACTCTTCTACACTGCGTTCTTGAACGTAGAGCTGTTTTGCTGAGAACCCTTCTGTTGCTGTGTTCTGCCCTTCTCTCTGCCTGAGTTAGCCTACGGTCGTCTCTGTTTAGTGAAAATCAGTAGTAGATGAGCACACTTGGTCCATGTTTAGAGAGCTGGCAGCTAGGGAAGACTTTTTACTCGAGTGAGAAACATCTGACAGTTGAGAGCTTGTGAGATTTAACTGTCACTGTCAGGAATGTGGTATTTGTAAGGCAGTGTTTAGTTAACACTGATCAGTCTTACTTCTGAGTACCATCGTTGTGGTTTAAGCTACTGCTGAACCCAGGACAGCCGTCTACATCAGTAACAGCATGAGTAGTTTTGTGTGCAGTAGAATTTCACCCTGTCGATGTGTGGCAAACCCAGGGCTTGTCAGGGTCTTGTTTCTAGCTGAATCATGATAGTAAGGCTTTGCTGGTGCTGCAGTCACTGCTGTGTCATAGCTCTTGTTTCTCTATTTTCCCTGCTCCTAGCACCAGTAGGAGAAGTAAGGGATGTTGATACTGCCCGCCAAGATCCACAAAAGGGGTACTGGAAACTAGTTCTTATTTTACAGTCCATACCTAAGTGGGTTTATCACAAGAATAAAAAGGAGATAGTGCATCGGGTGAGACTGGTGGTTCCTTCAGTATCCTTCAGTTTTATTTGTAGTATCTCATGATTCATAAGTCCAGCACTCAGGTGTGAGAGCAGAGCAGTACAGAGCTATACAGGGAAGTGGTACATAGCTTTATTTAAAGCATTTGCTTTCTTCTTAGTTAGCTGGCTGCTCTTTTGTTGATAGCTTTGCTATGACAGCCAGGAAGGGATGGAAGAGAAGGGAATATAGCTGTACATTCCTGGCCAAGCCACAGCGGAGCAAAATCCATATATGAAGAATGAAAGCAATACCTCTGAAAATGTTAAGGAGCAGGATCTGACCATGCTGCTGGTCATGTTCCTTTGTTGTTCGGTCCTGTTCACCTGCTTGTTGTGTTTGTGGCGTTGATTGTGCTCTATCTGGTTCCTTCTGGCAAAGCAAGTGAAAAAGGCTGTTTTTGATGACCCCTTTAGAAAGTAAACTTGATGTGGCTTAATTTCTTTCATTGGATTTTGTCAGTCTGATGAGGAAGGTGGCAAGGAGAAAGGTGAAGAAGGCCAACAGAAATTCATCGCACACGTTCCAGTGCCATCTCAACAGGAGGTAAGATGTTACAAAACTAACTTGCAGAGATGCGCTCTGGCTCCTGCAAGACAGAGATCTTGACTTACAGCAGATCACCAGTAAAAGCGTCCTTGACTTGTTACTACTCTTTAACCCTCTTGCAAATGCTGTGGAACTAGCCAGAATTACAGTACCATTGCTGTTACCTTTCCACCTGAGCACTTCCAAAACCGTCATAAGTATTACATAGATTGGGAAGTGATGTAGTGGTATGATCAAGAAAACCCTGACTGCCCACTCTGTCATTACTGTCCTTTTCCACTGATGGTCTGACTTTTCCCATTAACTTCATGGGATGATGTCTGAATTGCAGGGCTTGCTCTCATGAGTTTTCTGAAGTTATTTTGGTGACATGACCTTGAAAATTTATCACTGCTCTAGAGTATATATCACCTTAACAGGGGCAGGATGTTTGAAATATAACTCAGGCAAGAAGCTACCTGTTGGTAGGTATGACTGTACATCACACACATAGCATGTGGGGCTTGTCCCCTGCTTCTGTCTTGTCAGATAACCATCCTGTATTCTCCTTTGAAGTCATGATCCTGCACATTCAACAAAATACACACTCAGTGGTTTGTTAGAACCGCAGGAGGGATGGAATAATTAAACCCATTGCTCTCTGGCTGATGGTATTCTCTGAATGAAGAGAGCATAATTGACTGTCAGAACCGACAGATTCATAACCACTGCTTTACACAGCAATCTTTTCTAATCAGGCAGTACTCAGTGTAACCTTTTTAGTGGCAAATCCTTCCATACCTTATGCCTATGGGATGCCTTCTCGATTCTCAGTTACAGAAAAGCTAAGGTTCACAGCACTTGCTTTTGAGAGATGCTGTGTGCAGCACTGGTACAGGTTGCCCAGAGAAGCTGTGGCTGCCCCATTCCTGGCAGTGTTCAAGGCCAGGTTGGACACAGGGGCTTGGAGCAAGCTGCTCTAGTGGAAGGTGTCCCTGCCCTCTTTAAAGTACATGCTTGTTAATGAATTGTGTATTGCTGGCACTTCCAGACAAACTTTAGGTCAGAGGTTTGTAGCTGTTGCTGCTGTGAAGGGCACTCACTGAACTGTTATTTCAGGGGTGCAGATTAGTGTGACGTGACTCCATGTGTTCTGCCCTCGTTAAAGCTGTGCATGAGACAGTTCTTTGAAACTAAACTCAAGTGACTGTGCTGAGTAAAATGAAATGGAGCTAACTTCCTAACTAAAAAGGATAGAAGCGCAGAGCTGAGATGGAGGTGTCTTTCAACTTCCATGAGCTTTAGTTGAGTAATGGAAAAGATACTCCTGACTCATCTTAATTCAACTGCTTTTACACTAGAATTACATCAGAATTAAAGCTTTCATGGTCTGTTTCCTGTGGTTTTCTTCCTCCTCTCTTAATAGCTAAACATGCTAGGCTTTGGCACCTCAGTTAAGCAGAATGTCTTCCTGTTCTTATATTTGCAGATTGAGGAAGCTCTTGTACGGAGAAAGAAGATGGAGCTTCTTCAGAAGTATGCCAGTGAAACCCTCATGGCTCAGAGTCAGGAGGCAAAGACGCTTTTAGGATTGTAACATTGCACCAGTGTGTCCTGGGTTTTGTACAAGCCAGCTAAAAGCAGGAGGTTCATGTATTCTGGTCGCAGTCACTATCATCTGCCAAAGTCCCTTTGGATGTTAAGAGTAAACTGATGAAGTTCCAGGGTGTTCTGCAGAAGGAGAACGATCGTTTTGGTTTATCCACTAGGATGCGTTGCACTTCAGTGCTGAAAAAGATCAAACCTAGGTTCACTTGTCTCTGCATCATCAGCAGCTGTTGTCAGCCCTTTCACTGGTGCTTCTTACAGGCAGGAGCACAACCGGAGTGACTCCTTAAATCCCAATGGAAAGCTGAGTGCCATTACTGCCTTCCTGTACGCTGTATCCTGACCATTAAGTGTGCATGTCTTTCTCCTGTTGGTTTTTGCTGAGCTGAGACCAGAAGTAACTTCCTCTCTTACGCCCAGTTGATTTACCAGCATAGCCTGTTCTGATGGCATCTCTTAGGAGTGACTACGAGGTGGGTTTGGTTCTTTGTGTACCACATGCAGGTTGTCTAAAAGCTGTTCCCTTTGCTGTGGTTTGTAACTGTGCCTGGGTGGATGCTCAGTGATGGATATTTCAGCAGCTGTTGTAAATATGTCCAACTTTGCAGTACCTGGTTCAAACATTTTTAGTAAAACTGATTTACAACCCGATGTCTTGTTTCATTCCAGCTCAAAGGATCGTGGTGTTTCCCTGATTGCAGCCAAAGAATGGGATCAGAACTGCCCATCTGTGTGGGGAGCTGGAGCTCTGCATCCCCTGCTGCTCTTGGCTCAGGTATCCTGTGGCAAGGGGCAGATTACAGCAGAGCTGTGCAGTCTCATGGGTGACTAACATTGTTGTACAGACTATACAGAATGAGTGAGATCCTGAATTGGGCATCTGCAGCCATGGAGTAGAAGTGCTGTCGAAGGAATATAGTATTTAACAACCACCTAGCCATGTCTGGGACTACTTAGAGTTTCTAGGTGCTCTTGTGTATTCAGCACTACCTATTGTAAATAATCCACTCCAAAGCAATCAAAGCTCTAACTTATAGAGAAAAACTTTTTGATGTAAATGATCAAATAATAGAAGCCTTGAAAGAGTGGGAAGCATAGCTGCCAAATGGGAATCCTAACAAAGATCAAGTAAACAGCAAGCAGACAGATAACCTCACACACATTCCTCTCTCCGCCTGTTAGCAGTGTAGCTTTCTCTGCTTTGTAATAAAGCAGCAAATGGGTATGTGTATGATTTGTAGTGGTTTGTGTGCTCTGAGCTGTGAGCATCTTTCCAAAGTTGTTTTCAGTTTTTGCTCTGGCCCTTGAGTGTTTTCTGCTCTTGGGTATAGAGGAGGTGATGCGCTTTTATCCACACGCTATCTGCCTTGCTGTAAAAGGCACTGCTGTTTCCCAGAGTTCCTTCCCTGAAACCCCTGCCTGCCAGGAGTGGAAAAACAGGCTCCTTCCGTGTGGGATGTGCCAACAGGTTTATGGTCTGGCAGTGCCGGATCGGAGCAATGTGATTTGCCTATGGAAAAGGTTAGTAGATGAAGGATAAAGGCGCTGTCGCCTGGTACTAAGGCACTGACGTCGTTCCTGGAGCTGAGGGCATTGGCAGGCAGGTTGTAAGGCTTGATCACACTGCAGGAGTGTTGGTCACAACACACGTGATGATACCCATAGTGTGACCAGGGCAGGGGAGACATGACACCAACAGCCAACCTGGGCAGCCAGAGGGGTTTGCCAGAAAGGCACTTGGAGCTGGAGCTGGGTTGTGAACAGCCCCCTGCCAACCATGCTCCTGCTGCACTGCACTTGTTCAGTACTGCACTTGTTCAGTACTGCACTTGTTCAGTACTGCACTTGTTCAGTACAACAGCTTTTCTTCCAGGGGAAGAGGAATGCCAGTCCTGCTGTACATCTGCTAAACTCTGTGCTGGAGATAACCAAACTGGATTTTGGGGGGGGGGGGGAACCTGACTAGTTTTTATGGCCTGGCACAGTCTGGGAGTTTAATAATACCACTGGTTGATCCCTTCTGTCACAGTAGGAATATGTAACATAGAAGACAGAGAACAGAATGGTGAAGATAGGTCAGGGACACAGTGATAATGACAGAAAGCATAAAAAAAGAGAGTAAACTGATAGAGGGAAATCCAAGACAGGATAGGAGCTGCATTTGTGTTCAAAGAAGCAGCTCCAGCCCTCGGCAAGACCAGTATAATGATGTAAAAAGAGGGGTTTAGGATGATGCTGGTCCCTGCTCAGCAGCACAGAAATGGGATCAATGCACAGAAACAGCGTGGAGCTGCAGTGCAGGCTGTGCTGGGCCTGGGGACTGGCTCTAGCTCCAAGTGCTGGCTTTTTAAGCTGGATGCTTTTTTTTGGCTGCATCTGAGCCAGCAAATTGCAGAGTAATTGTTGGCAGCAGTGGCCTGAGGCAAAATGCCTCTGCTCTGCTGGCTGTACGGGCTGTTAGATCGCTGCTGGGGTTGGGGCAGAGGAGCTTCTGGAGGCAGAACTGCGAGAGTGAGCTTGTAGCTTGTCCTGAAGCATGGAACAGTGCATATACTCTGTGTTAACGCTCCCTTGAGTGTGCAGCTGCACTTAGACCTGTGTGTTGTGTCAGGCTTATAGATTGTGCCATCTCTGGTGCCTCAGCTCTGAGCACGTCAAGGTTATTAAATAAATGTCATTTTCTATGTGGAAGCGTGTAGCTCTGTGCGACCCTGGCTTGAGCTGTGAGGGGATAACCTCTGGATTAGGCTGTTCACTGTTACCAGTCTTGGCTGCTTTTGTGTGCTAGAAACACATTCAATTCCGTTTCATTTAGTGCCAGCCACCGCGGTGGAGCCCACCAAAAGACACCCTCCTTGCTCCTTGTTTTGGTGAGTGCAGCGCCATCGGGGGATCGCCTTCTCCTGCTGTCCAGGAGGGTGGTGGGGAATATGTGTTGGCACTACGAGGCGGTAAGTGGATTTTCCCGATCAGCGTTAACAGATGAGATCGATCCCCGGTGCCAGCGCTGCAGACCGTCCCCTTGCTGTGTTTATTCCGTGTTTTGCCCACCCTCAGCCTGGTGGCAATCAGTGCCTTTGCAGCGCACGCTCCAGCTCACGCCGTGTCCCTGCGTGACCGTGATGCGATTCCTCCCCGGCAGCCTCGATTCCTGACGGACAGCAGAGCGGTGCCTTTGTTACTGAGGCAAAGCCGAGCCCCTTGGCGGTGGAGGCTCCCTCCCGGGGCCGTTCCGGATGAGGTCTGTCCTGGCGGGTGCCGCAGGCTGGCACAGCCCGGCTGAGCCCCAGCACCGCCGGCTCCGGAGGGCGCTCGCAGGGGCCCTTCTGCACCCGCACCCCTGCGCGCTCCCGGCCCTGCCCGCGCAGGGGCCGCGGGTTCCGCTGCCGGAGCGCGCTTGGAAACGCTCGGTGAGCGCGGACCCTGCGCGGGGCGGAAGGGGGCGTGGCCTATGTCCTATGGGGGGCGTGGTCTATGCCCCGAGGAGGCGTGGCCTCTGCCCAGAGGGGGCGTGGCCCTGCGCCTGAGGCCCTGGGTTCGAGCCCCGGCCGGCGCTGTCCCGGCCGCTCCCTGTCACCGCCATGCGCCGGGCGCTGCCGCCGCTTCGCGCTCTCCTCAGGCCCGGCCCCGCGGGGCTGCCGGCGCTCAGCGGGCTCTGCGGCGCTCCGGGCGGGCTCCCGGCGGCCGGGGAGAGCAGCGGCAGCAAGGCAAGGCAAGCGGGGGGTCCGCGGGGCGGGGCCGGGCACCTCGGGGCGGTGCGGGGAGAAACCGAAACGGCGTCAGGCGGCCGCGGTCAGGTCCCTCCCGGGCACGGGGGCAGCCTCTCCCCCGGGACCTGGGGCTCTTCACTGGGTGTCTGCGAGCCCCTGCCCCAGGGCTGGGCGCTGCCGGCTCCCGGGCGGCGGGAGAGCGGCCTTCTATGGCCTGAAGGGGAAAATGAAGTGTTAACGTCGTTGTTTCCTGCGGGACACGCTGAAACCCTCCCGTAGTGTTTTTAACGTGTATGCTCAGCACCGGGATGCTCTTTGGCTCGTGCTGTTCACCGCAGGATTCACATCCGTGGTCTCCACGCTTTACGGGAGGCAGAGCTACCGGGAAGAGCTGCCTTTACCACAGAGCTGTTGCGGTGTAGCGCCGGGAGCCTCCCGCGGCAGTTCAGACCCCGAGGAGGCCGCTCTGTGTCCATCGTGCCCAGGGTGGGTGGGTTCCTTCCACTGTGGCATCCCCGAGACTGCTGCCGGCAGCTGGGAGGCACCGGCTCGGGGCTGGGGTTCTGCTGAGTACAGAGGGAGAGGGGAGAGGGCTGCAGGAGGAGTTCTGGTATCTAGACCTGGACAAAGCCCGAGTGCCTCAGTTCAGCAATGACAATGCAGTACACGGCAAGGGTTGCCTTGACTGAATTGGGCTGCGCAGGGGAATGTGCTCGCTCCTGGGTATTCAGCAGCCACTTGCATGCCCGCGGCAGCTCCGGGGCTGTGCCGGCAGCTCCATCCCATTCAGCGCAGCGGTGGCGGCGCCCATCTCCGTGCCGGGCCCAGCTGCAGGAGGAATGCAGGAGGTGAATAATTGATGAGGAGCAGGGTGCTGCTTCAATAGGCAGTGTCCTTGTCCCTGCATAGCAGGAGCAGCGGGCTGGGTCGCTGTCAGCCTGTGCCCAAACAGCTGAACCCGCCGCCATCGGCTGGGGTCGTTTGGTGCCTGTTCTCCTCATCACGCTGGATCTGTCGCCCCTGTTTCATCAAACGATGAACGAGGGGGTTAGGGATCCGTTTTAACCTTGGGAGGGACCTGAAGTTTAGATTACAAATCCTTTTTGGTCCATCCTTTTCCAGCCCGATTGAGTAACGGTTTCATTGCTTGACAGTCCTCTCTCTGTTGCCACTCCTTGGGCTTATTACCCAGCTCTTCTCTTACCCCCAGTTAGCCTTGCTCTCCTTTCCTGGTCTCACAAAGCTCTTCACTTCTTCAAAGTCAGGCAACAAGATATAAACTCTAGGGACTCAGACAGCATCTGTGTTGAAGGAGGAGCTGACTTTACCAACAGGCGTTAGTCTGCCACATGTAAAACTCGGCATCAGCTCCCTGCTGCTCCACTTTTCCTGTGTTAGTAGTTTAT